ATGAGATGGAAGATCTCGATGCGGAGTGATGAATTTTATTCTTTGCTCATAATATCGTCATTGGAAAGAAGTTTTTCAATTAATTAGATATGAACGTGTGATCGAACCGGAGCTGAACGAAGCAATCGATATATTTGACTTCCACATCGGTGACCATCAATTGTAAGTCATTCACAGAAAATAATGCTTTCTGAATCACTTCAGTGAGAATGAAGAATGATTACTGAGTTGCTGCCGCTGCAGAGGTTTTTTGATGCCGCCTGAGGTCGTAAAAACCGAAAGTGAGATTCGGTGTGACATCTGAATTTCAGCGAAAGTGTTTCGTCGCTTGTCAGATTTGCAGCTTATAGACTCGACTTTGAACAGCTCCCATATGCTTCCGTTTTACTCAAAATTTAGCTGTTTATCCCATTGAAAGAGAATAATACTACTTGATGAAATTAAAGGCAATTTCTACACGACTTCCGCTTTTCTATGAACTCTAAAAACCAAAAATATTTCATTTGTTAAGCCTTCAGTCTTCGCAGTTTGAACAAAGCGGTGCCTTGCTAAATTGAACTGTTTCTAACGTGAGTTTGAGGCGGCTGCGAAACCTACTACTAATTACACATAAACTTCATAATTGCAGTGGATGCATAACTTTTTTTATTGGTAAATAGAGGCAGTTAGTGAAACAGGAAGCTGTATTATTGGCGCTTTATTGTGACTTGTTTTCCATACAAATATTCAAATGTTTTTCATAGTGAAAAGTTTATTTTCACGAAGTATATATATACTGTCGCAAACTCTATGTTATCGAAAACTCGCACTTTGCAAGTGAACCCTTAGCATCAGGGTGATTTATATGCATTAGAAATTGCTGCCATTAGTTTTAAATGAGGTCAATATGTATTCTTTACCTCCTTTGCCATAAAATAAAACCTTGGGCACGAGTTTTCCAATCATCGAATGTCTGTCTCTCTTACTCTGGCATAGTGCACGTAGCTTCTGGCAGCTTCCTTCCACGGTGTTTATGGCAGAGTCCCATTTTTGGTGCCTCCACTGACGCCGGGTATTGAAAGGGACTATGTCTAACAAACAGTAATATTACATGATGAATGACTCTTCCAAAACCTGATTCCACAAAGATTTGCACCGCTCTCTTGTTTTAATCTGCCTAGAGGGCTATTTAAGCAAATGAAGACGGTCACGAGTCCGAGGCATTTTAGCACCTGCAGTGACTGATGCGTCTCGCATCATTTTGTCCGCTAGAATCTCCTCGCGCTCTACCATGAACGATTTTTCAGAGATTGGTACTCCTCATATTCCATGGCATGAATATAAAAACATTTCTCGTATGCCGGAGCATTTCAAAGGAAGAATGACTTCTTCAAGACTAAATTTCCTAGCGTCTGGCATCATTCTATTGTTTTTTCTTGCCTTGAAGGGAGTAAAGAATCGTTTAAGCAAGCCACAGTTCCATGATGTTTAAACACCTGAAGTGCCAAACGCGTATGATATCATTTTTGGTCGCTAGAGCTGCTTCACTCTCATCACAAACGATGTATCAGGAATTAATGCTTCACGTTACAGAATAAAATTAATCATTTCATGAATCAAAAATTAGAAATGCCAATATCTTGCTATCAATTTGAAGCAGGTCTATGAGTTCAGGACAAAAGCCATTTCTGCAAATGGCTTAATTCTGATAACAACGAAGATCGGCTTGAGCCATCTGAAAATCACGGAATTGCCATAAAGAAAATTTTGTAAAGCTGTTGTTTTGGGTACCTCCAGGGTAGTGCGAAAAATTTTCGACACAACAAATTTGCATCAGCAGCAATTAGCTGCCTATACTTCGTCCCAGCTGTTGGCAAATTCTCCTCTGTATGAAAGGATATAAAATAAATCAACTTCGTTGTCTAGTAACACACATAATGATATGGTTAACAAGTTTGGCAAAGTTCCACACCCAGTTTTCTGTTTTGCACCATTCAGATGACGTTAATGATAGTTTCCACCCGCTTTGTCGTCTCGTTCATCCAGCAATGCTTAATACTTGATATCTACCTGTGGTTCATCGTCTTCTGTTCAGAACATAGACAATCATGCTGTATTCTGGGAATAATAGTGAGGCGAATCAAGATCAACTTTATCTTGATTTGCAAGCAGAATAGCCTTATTCTCAATCTATCTGCTGCAATTGCATACAGCGACTTTTCAGTTCTTGTTGATCCCTGCCCTATTAGCCGGTCGTCTCAATCTTAATGATAAGTATTAGGATTGTGATTAAAGGAAATACGTCATGTGAGCTCCCCTATTTTTGAGTTTGCCAAATTTTCATGAAACGGACGATGATGATCAATTTCTGAGATGGAATTCAAGGTAAAGTACATAGCGTTTGAGATGTCAATATCAAACAGTTCTTTATATTGTACATTGGTTTCTGAATTTTTTGTTCTCAGTCTCCAAGAGAGGTAATCTTCTGTCCAAAAAAGGCTCACTGCCGTATGAACCCGTTTCTTGTATAAACGTCATTTACGAATAAATCTGCCAGATTTTGCATCACATAATCATACTTTTGATTTTGGTTGTAAAACTAAATCTATTTCGACTACCAGAAATGATAACTTATGAGTAGGATTCAGTATTACTACACATCGCATGTTGGAAAGCAATTAAGTTTAACCTGGTACAGACTTCATCATCACTCAAAGTTCGGATCGCTTAAGGATTAAGTCGATAAACGGTCGTTTGATTTGCCATTAGTCAAAAGACATACATGATTTCGATGGTAAGCAGGTGCTAGAACACGAGCTCAGGTGTAAAAAATTTATCGAGCCAAGCCCATTCGAAGAGATTTAAGAACTTTTAAACTAAGTTCTGTGGTCATAAACTGCGTCGTTAATCACGCTAAGCCAGTAGCACAAATTTATACCTTTGCTCACAGTCGCAATATATGCTGGAAAATGATAAGGCACATTGCAATTAGTGTTTTAAAACTAGAACTGCAATCAGCTAAAAAAACATTCATAGAAATGGCTAAAAAGCGGAAATATGTCAGTTGAAGTTTTGGTGTAAGATCTTGCTCTGAAGAGCGTTCACACTACAAACTGCATGCATACAGCTGAAACTACTGTATGTACCATCTAAGACAGTTTCTCTAAGGGAAAGACGCTTTGACAACTAGCCCGCAGAGAAAAATGAGGGGATCCCGTCTAATTAATCGTTCAAAGAAAACGTAAACATATTTTTTCGTCATGCAGCCTACTGCAACTGTGTTGCATACGGGAGCCGTCAAGAGATTGAGATCGTTTTCTGTACTATTCAGTGGATCAATATCAATACTATTCCCGGGGCAGAA